TGTACATTGTTGTTGAAAAGTTGTAAATACAAATCGTTTGTCAATATACAGGCTTGATTTTAGGTTAATTTAAAGTTTTCGATTGGTATTGTTATTGTGAAATGAAGCAACATCTACTTTCTGTTTTGCGTGTGAGTGAGGTTACCGGAGGCCCAATCCTTCTAAATCACCTATCCTTAAATCCCCCATAACCCAAAATAGGCCCCAATGCACTTATAGTAACTCCTTTGGCATTACACCGTGCCCCATCGCTTACCTGATGGTGATCCGTATGCCACCAAACCATGGCTTAAAAATCAAAAAATGACTGTTGATTGGTTTGAGTTATATAAAATGACTAGCTTTTGCCCGCGACTTGTGTAAAAACAGTGACTTCCTGTAGATTTAGGTATAAAAAGCATCCTATGTCGTTTCTGGAGTTCCAAACTATGTCTGTACCAAATATCATAGAAATCGGTTCAGTAGTTTAGGCGTGAAGAAAAGCCAGACAGATAGACAGAGTTTCTTTCGCATTTATAATATTAGTTTGGATATACCGTCTTTGATTTAACTATGCGATTTCTATTAAATTGATAGGGAATGTCATAACTGCATCAATACCAAATATTTTAACCGTAGTTATCTTTTACCTTTATCTATCATTAAAACAATATCAATCACGTTTACTTTCGTGCTATAAAGTTTAACTTAGATAATAATTATCTGCGATCATATTACTTAGCGTAGGTCTTGCATATTGGTTTGTTTTAAATTTATAGAAATAATATTTCAATTTCAGAAAAGTTTCTCAAACATGATGATGATCCACACAATGGTGATCGGTGAGTGGTATGTGTATGTAAATCACAAAGGAGTGGAATTCTTTGCCGAAGACCACTGTTTCCCGATACCGTATAACTTATTCAATCGGGAAGACACCCTTTCAAGGTCTGAGTGAATAAGTTACTTATAGGTAGGTATGCTCTATCGTAGGTCGCATCACCGCTTACCACCAGGCGTGCTAATAGTAGTAAATGCGGCAGGCGTTTGGCCACTAGCACGCCAACACCATAATGACATAAAAATAAATCACAATACGATGTCCAGCCAAGGATAAGTGCGTGCCTATTTATTACAAAATTCTCTCAAGGATCAAGGAACCTTTGCCCAAGGACCTATTGGAGGAACATCATCGAAATTCCATGTCTCTATAGCCGGTGGAAGATCATAATTTATATAATCTTTGTAGAATCTAGGACAAGATAGACGAGTCAGCAAACTTGTTTTAAAACAATACAATACAAAGCAATTTGCAGTGTCAATGTCTTTAACATAATGTGTTATTATGAGAGAATAATGGTAGTATTCCGTCACTGTCTTGGAGGTCAAAGGCCTTTTCATATTAAAATATAATAGTTAGAAAATAATATTTACTTCTTGACGTCAATTTAAGGTTTTACAACGAAAACTATAAAGGTTCTATACGATCCATTTTCAATGATTGTCGTTATGTGTGTGTATAATAAATAATTAATAAGGAAAGAAATTGATTTGAATAAATGCACATATTTTTTCAGTCGAAATAATAAGATATTATAACAATTCTTTAATCAAGTTGACTACAAAACACTACATTAATTGATTCCCATAGAATGAATTAAATTATATTAAAGTACCTGTTTCATAATTTTATTTTTATTCTAATTATGTTAATATCACTATTTAATTATGATTTAAAATTAAATTATTTTTCAAAGCCAAAAGTACGACTGTTTCTACGCGCCGGTCAATGTTCTCACTAATTATAACGACTAACGTCAACCTTTGCAAAAATGTACGAAAAACTATTAGAAAAACTGAGAATAAGATTTCAAAACACATTTATTACAAACTAGCTGTCTTTAATGTCCTTTTTTACTAGAGCTTTGAATTATTCACCGAGAATATTTGCTTTGCTATATACTTAATGGTGTAACCATTCATGATTTTTTAATTAATTCACATAATTTTTCAGATGCTTACTTAAATTGTCATTCTCGATTGCTTGTTAAGTATACATGTATGTTCATATTAATTTTAATATTAAGTTTGAGTTGCGGGTCACATTATTGAAAAATGCACTACGGTAGGCTTGGAGCAGGTTAAAGGAACAGGTGGGTTTTAGTCAGTAAGAGTCTAATACTATCTATGCGGGGTAAGCGCAATGAGTCACCGCGACCTCGGCCCAGAGCAGGAGAAGGAACAGGGGGGTTTTTAGTCAGTAAAAGTCTGACACTCCCTCGCCCAGGGCCGGGCGGGAGAAGTCATTTGATAATATTCCCCTCACAACAAAAAAAATAATTGGTTCGTTCCCTTCCCTACTCAAAAAAGCTAAACAATTAGTTGTGGTATACTAATACAAGGTGGCAATATGTACTTCTGCCTATCACGAGGCTTAAAAGCATGAGTTTATGTTTGCATGTAAACTAAGCAGATAATTAGAATTTATTTTATTCAGCTAATACTACTCGTAGTTGCGTGATAAACTCTACTTAAATAAACGTTTTAAAGTCTCAGTTTTAAAGAATATTCAACAGTTAGTACCTAATTCGTATTATTTTATTGTGACAACATACTTCTGACTTCAAAGTCACATTAGAGACAAAATGCAATTAATAAGGAAACCAATATTCAATTTTTTTTACAAATAGAAAGAAAATAGCAGTCGGATAACCTGTTGGTAAGCCATCGGTAACTTGTAACATCTAGAGGAATGCGTTAACGTTTCTGGTCTTTTGGGGATTTGAGAATTGGAGATAATTATGAGATGGAGGAACTTGGGCTTCATGTAATCTCACTACACAGGACAGGAAACAGGTCTCCTGTCATAACGTGGTATCACTCCTGTGGAATCAGCCCAATCGTGTGGGAATGGCTCTCTGTACGGGAGAAATAAATTAAAATTAATATGTAACATTTTATAAAAATACATTTTTTTAAGGTTTTCAAAAAATCTATTTTTATTGGTTACCTTCTCTTTTAGTGTTAACATTACTACTAGACACTTATGTAAACTAATAAAAAACTTGCAATATGCAAATCGTGCGTGTTATTGCAATATAGCTGTCAACATATGTAAATTTAAGATATTCTTTAGTTATTTATACCGAATTCTTATTTGATAACAGAAATATTTGCAGAATCTATCTATACTAATATTATAAATAGGTAAAATTTGTTAGTTTGTATGTTTGTAAGTTTGTATGTAGGTGGTAATCTTGCCAAAATTCTTTCACTGATAGATAGCTACAATATTCCTGAGTGCTATAGGCTAAACATCACGTTACGATTAAATGGAGCGGGGCAGCGGGTAAAACCGCGCGAGAGTAGCTAGTTTCAAATACAATAAGGATAACTTTTGCACTGCATACGACATAAATTAAGCACTGTCAAAAATGTATATACCTATAAACAGTTGCGTAAGATTATCTGAAACCGGTATAACAATTATATAATTGAAGAATACTTACAATAACGCGAAGATTACAGCGATAAACGGTTTCCAAGGTCATGTAATGATCATCAAAATCTGATAGCAACCATCAGTTTGTGGTATGATCGAACGATTGCATGTCTTGAAAAGAACATAGATCCGGTTATGCAAACATCTATGACTATTATTAGAGTCAGTCTGATAGTGGAAAGGCTGATGATGAAATGATACACTAGTAAACGATCAAAGCAATCGGCACTGCCATGGCCCCGTAACAACAGACAGTTGGAAGTGCGTTGCTGACATTAATAATAGGTTATAGGGATTCAAGGAATGGGGGAGAGGAAGGATTGGGTTTCCGGTAACCTCACTCACAGAGTGAAATACAACACTGTGATTGTTTTATGCCATTTTTCTGTATGGTCGTGGTGTCGTCCGTCGAACCGACCTATGCATGTCGAAGCATGGTTCTCCCACACTTAGGTTCTACCAAGAACTTTTTAATTTAAATGTCGGTTCATTTGTCTCCTATTGATAGTGAAGTGAGCCTCGCCTAAGGGACACCCGGAACACCCGAGGAATCACAGGCGTGTTCCCGGCCTTTTAAGAAGGACTTTGGAAGGAACCGAACGACAATAAATACACCAGGGTTTTTTTCAGCAAAGTTCTAGGAATTAGACTAAAAACAAGTTTAATAAATAATGTCTTAGAATTCTAATACCAGTTTAAGAAGATTACTCTCACTTAATTATGTATATTAGATAATATTCAAATTTGAATCTTTGAATAGATAACAGGAAATTTTAGTCTAGATTTTAAAGTCCGGAAGTAGACAGAAAGTTTCTAAACATTGCTAATTTAACAATATAAAGACCCTTTCAAGACATAGTGATGGTCAGTGACCATATCGATGGTAATTACTCGGTGTTTTTATTTTTAAGTCCGAAGTTAATTTCCATAACTGAGTAGTGTTGTGCGCAGTGTACCGTGGCTTGTTCTGACGCCCCTAGTGATGCGCACAGTCGATATTTTTAATTGCATTTATTTTATTCGTTGAACTTTTATGAACATTTTTTATATTTTATTTTATGTGCACTGATGGATTTTTTGTTACGTACTAAGTGAATATTTTAATAAAATGTTATTTTAGTGTGCATATTTTTAAAGTGCGTTACGGAGACATAATATTTTATGAAGTTTCACTTGTTATATTTATAATAACATTTAAATAAGAATGGAGTAAAAAAACTTACTACCTTTTTTGTTTTGAAATCAGGTTAACACATGACAAAAGGCTACCGTTATTACTTAGAACCTATAGGAGGTGTACTTCCGCTTACGTCTTCTACAAATAGGACGTTTATTTATTGAAAAATAACCATTAGAATATCTAGCACAATCCGCTGTATTGAGCCATCATATTCAATTAAAATATACACATAACCTCGAGCCGTAACCCATTATTTATTACATACACCACAATAAAAACAAACATTACTCACGGACATCGTTAGTACAAAACTATCGATAAACGCGCATCACTCGAGCGCACCTTCCGACTTAGTTCAGTGTTACGTGCAAAGCGCATGCGCGCGATCGTGTTCTAAATTCAACTCATAATTAAAATTAATTTTTATATGGCAGTTGCGAACCGACCGTGTGGTGATTTCCATTGTGACAGAAGTAAATCATGCATGAGAAGGACTTCTAAATCTCACTGGGTAATATCTTTTAGTACTGACCTTGTTTTTTATGTTTACGTAGAATCTGTAATTGAAGTCTCAGGTTTACGCGAAGTTGTTAAAAAGAAGAAAAAAAAATACGAGTGTTTTTTTAAACGTTTATGGATCAAGGTTTTTGTCACAGTTGGTGGTTCGTTTTGAATTTTATTATACGTTTGCGATATTTATCGGATGTGTAGACTGTGTTTACTGCGTGACACTTGTGTTGTGATGGTCATTTACCATTGAAAATTGATAGTGTAGTGCATTAGTATTACAGGGTAAAGGACATTGAAAATTAGACCTTAAGTAAAGGGTAGTTTAAATTTGAAATGATATAGTTCGAGGACTTGTTTGCTAAATAGTTAACTAAAATTGAACTTTAAATAAAGGACTGTACAATACCTAATGATTTATTAAGTGACATTTTGAGGTTTATAATAGCCAGCGTGTATGTCAAGAAAGTACTTAAGAACTTGTGTAAAAGTATTACGTTTTTACCTATGGCTTCATGCCTCGCTTCTTCGCTTCTTAAGAAACGGACATTAAACTTTAAGGTATACTACTTTTATAATAATATTGTTATAACATCACGAATGCAATGTAATAAATAGATCTTAAGTATAAATGGCTTGACTATCAAAGGCATAATAATGGCTCAAAAACATGAACTAATGAGTAGATGAGATTCCTGATGATAAACAACTACTACGTACGTACCCAGTAGCAGCGCGCCTCTAGCATGGCTTGAAACTAGTCGAACATCTCGTCAAATTATTACGTGAGTAAGCCGAAAACATAATAATTAATTTAGAATGTCTCACGAAAGTTATATTAAAAAAGTACTACGTACATCAGTAGTAGGTACAATCGCTATCATCTTCCTCGGCCTCTGCTTGGAGCAGGAGAAGGAACGTTGGTTTTTAGTCAATAAGAGTCTGATCCGACCTCACGTGTTGCCTACAAGCAGCAAGGATAATTAGGAATGTGATTAAATTTCTGGATGGATTTGGATGAAATTTAGTACAGGCATAGGAGACACCCCGGAATAGGACAAAGGCTAGTTTTTATCAAGACACTACGTTGGTGAAGCCGCGGGAGGAAGTTAGTATAATTATAATATACAAGAATATAATAATATAAATTATGTATCTCGTAATGAAAATGGCATGTAATGATATTCTCACGATAATCATTATTACCTACTCACGATCATTAATCACTTTAATAATATAAATATTATAGTTGTAAATAATTTATTGTATTCTAAGATTTCCAAGAATTTTTCCATTCATGAAATGAATCGTAGAATGGTCCAGGTCTTTATGAATCGTAGAATCCTATGAAGATACGGGAAAATATTTGAAAAAGTCTAATAACCTATACATATAGATGTCCAGTGTAATCCAAACCTCAAAGTAATAAGTACCACTTTCTTCTCTCTTATCTTTGATTCACGCCTAAACTAAATTTGGTACAGATATATGTAGTTGGGAACTCGAAAAAGGACATAGGATAGTTTTAATACCAAAAATCTGCAGGCAGTATGTACCACGCGAACGGATACGACAGTCGTGGGCAAAAGCTAGTAAAAAATACTATGTTAGCATTTTGTTGTCACAAGTGCTGTAAATAAAGTTGTTTACAGAGTAAGAACATTACACGAATTAGTATTTCCAATTAGTTTCATTTAAAATCATCTCGTGTTTATTAACAATCTATTTAAATAAATTAGAACACTATTTGAGTTCGGAACAAATCGTTTGACCCTGAAATAAATTCCTAAATGATACCGTAAATTCCAATAACTAAATAAAAAGAACTTAATTAAAGAAAAAAGTAGTTTACTTCTCATTATCATCAGCCTATAAGTGCGCACTACTGAGCAAAGGCCTCTTCTCACACAGACAAGGTTTGAGCATTAATCACCACGCTTGCTTAAGGCAGATTGGCGATTTCAAACTTATAATTATAATTAGAAATTATAAGTCCAGGTTTCTTCACGATGTTTTCCTCTACCGTTTATCAGTGGTGACGAAATAATCATAGAACGTACGTATAACTCAGGAAAATCACATTCCTGCATGAGAAGCGCCCTAAAGCCTTTAATATTAATATATCCTTATTTGAAATTACCTTTTTATGTAACACTTTTTGTAGGTAAAGTATATGGGTGCAAGCTGCATGCTATTTTGCTAACAATCAAATTTAGGGTGATGCAAAAGAATCAATAAGTGGCTATTCTTTTAAACTCTTCTGCGATTGTATAAAGATTTGGTGATGTGCCTGTAATGTGATTATATTTTACACAATGAGCTTTAAAGAACTTGGTTTTAACATTACTGTAATATTTTTATTTTATACTAAATATTCAAATACTTTTTTCTTAAAATACGTCAATTTGTAGATCACACAAATAGTTGTTCCTTGCGGGAATTCAACGATAGCCCCAATCGAGCAATTGAACCTATTTAGTTTGTACGTAAAAACACTTAATTTTATTCATACAAAAAAATCCTATTAACCAAGACCAAAACATGTTTGTCGAAAAATTACTCATTTTTTGCTATATAGAGGAAAATAACTAACTTATGTACCTTCTGATGTAAGGAAGTAATTTTAAAATAAAAACAAAAAAGTGATTTCATCCAATGTGCTAACAATGACTACCTGATTACGTATATTGACTTATCTTGTAACTCATGAAGATTAGAATGTGATCATTACTGTCAGTTAGTCAACATTAAGACTCTAAATTAAAATGTTTTATGGTTGCTTGTGTTATTCATAATGTGTACAAAAATACACATAAATATGTACATTGCGCAATTCGTAAGGTTATGTCATTGTAGTCCTGTAATGACGATTGGCTAATATTTATTGGTTACTATTATTTTATTTCATCTTGTAACTGCCCACCCTGGAAGTGAGTGTCGTGCCCCTGTCCCATCCCTTGCTCTAGTCTGGGGCCGGCCGCGGTTCATTCACATGAAGAGTCTAATTAAATGATATCATCATGGACCAACATCAGGTAGCTTCTTCTTACACCGGGGTTTAACTTTATTAAACACCATACCATCCTTATATCAGTGGTGTCTAAATTATCTTAGAAAGTCCTTATAACTCGAGAACGCTACATTGGTTCTTGCCTGGTTTCGAACCTTCATGCACGATACGTTTCTTTAATGGTGGAAAATCATCTTTCTTCCCGCGCTATTGATGTGGCAAGAGGGAGTGTCAGTCTCTTACTGGCTAAATACCACCCCGTTTCTTCTCCTGCTGCGATACATTATTGGGTTGGACCCGCAACTCCTCTGAGCTAAAACAACTCAGGCCAAGATTGACAGAGAACGGATACCAAGCGCTCTGTAATAAGCCTCAAATTCATATATTTATTTATTTTCCTACCAAACGTAGATATTGTGGCCAATCTTTTTTAGGCTGATGATGCTCTATATTTGAAAATCTAAACTTATAAATATATCAAGAGTATTATCAATGTCTCAGGAGTTTGTTTGTTTGCTTGACTCACTGAATCTCCGGAACAACCGGTTCGAATTGTCCATTTACCGAAAATGACTATAGGCTATTAAAAATGAGCAATAGGAGCCAAGAACAGGGTAAAATCACGTAGGACTGGCTAATATAAATAAAAAATACAGATCTGCAAACAATAACAATATATGATGCTATTGTGAAATAATAGGAACGCGATATGGCCGTCCATATAACATTTTATTTGCTTAATAACTAACTATTATGCTTTGCACAACACTTTATTTAAAGAAAATAAAAATACATTAGCATAATAATAATTTGTGTCTTAAAAACAATAGTTGCGTAACAACATAAACATTGTATTCATTGGTTCGAGATGTTTCATGTCTTTTGTCTCAATTCCGGATTCCCCAAGGTCTGTCGTCGTAAAACCAAGGCTTGCTAATTACAATTTAATTTTGAACGCCATCAAAAATTCATTATTCATGTAACGATTTTTCCTTTCCTGGATATCTCTACTTAGGATTGACCTTGGGTCATACTCATAGTCATGATTAAGGCTTCCTATAATTTGTTATGGTGGCTTTAGTTCTACTCTTGCCTGTTTATTTTGATTATCTTGTTTATTTAAGATACGGTTGCATGTAAACAGTAGGTAGTCTTAAGGGAGAAATCTCACTATTAATAATAATATGTCATAATTGATAAAGTTTTGTTAGTTATATGATATTTCTAAAAATCTTTTAAGTACATGGCTTGAAGTCTGGGATACTGCTGAATCAATTTTAATGACACTAGTAATTAGACTAGATTACTTATATACAATATACCTACCTATACCAATCACTATAAAGAAAAGTCAATTACGAGTAGTTTCGGAAAAACTTTTGGTGAACTCGATTTCAAGTTTGTATCAACATAAAATTGAATGATAATAGATTCTTCTTCTCTTTTAAGCATCACAAAATTCAATGTATAAAAATACCAGCTTTCACCCGCGGTTTCGCACGCGTATAAAAGTTATGTCTATTAATAGTTATTTTAATTATATCACTCAGGAACACTGTATCTATCAGTGAAAGAATTTTGAAAATCTGACCATCGGTTCGGGATCTTTATACAAACTTACAAATTTTAATTCTTTGTAATATTAGGTATTATTAGTATAGTATACACTATGGACACATGTAATGTCAAAACATCCTTTTTCATTTACAACCATTACTAACAAAATTCTATATACATATATAAATATTTACCAACTTCGTTGATGACTATAAAATCAGGGACGCCTTTTATTTTGCTTCTAGTAACTTAAATTTATTATTATTGGCTATTCACGTTTTTTTGCAATGTCAGACGAATAATTTGTTATGGTGGAATAAGTAAGAAACATCTATTGTTTCAATAGTGCTTGTCTAATTAAAAAATCTAGATATTTTTCACGAGTAGCTGTAATTACAACGTAGCAATTACAGTTTGATTTGCGTTGCTTATAAACT